CAAGGAACCTGTCAAGGAACCTGTCGAGGAACCTGCTGAGGAACCTGTCGAGGAACCTGTCGAGGAACCTGCCGAGGAACCTGCCGAGGAACCTGCCGAGGAACCTGCCAAGGAACCTGCCAAGGAACCTGCCAAGGAACCTGCAGAGCAACCTGCAGAGCAACCTGCAGAGCAACCTGCAGAGCAACCTGCAGCTTTACATTCAAAGATAATATTGGTAAAGCACTTGCCCATGGGAAAAATGTCAACGGCCAAGACCTATCCGAAGACCATAAAGACATTGGCTGCAGTCCACAACAAGTGATGTTGGATCTATTGGCTTAGGATCTGTGAGCTTTACTTGTACAGTTTCTGGGTCTTTGTAAGTGGAATGGTCTTCATGATCTCCTTCAGTGAATATACTGGTGAGGAGGTGAGAAGCTGCAGGAGAGTGATTAAGGGGGTCTGATCTGCATTGTAGCTTATCTTTTGAGTTATGTCCTCTTGCTGTTGTTTTATCTGTACCAGTATGGATGTTGAAGTATTTTATGTTGTCTGTTGTTTTGCAATAGCCAAGGAAGATACCATCATATGTCCAGGGGTGTGTGGTAGTGGATGGTCTTGTGCCAGGTCATTTTTCTGTAATTTTGGCTCCTCCAGAGGTGACAAGATTGTCCATTGGAGGAATTCTTCCACCAGAGTAGTAGGCCTGAAGAGGGGTCATGTCAATGGCACTATTATAGGTTTGATTGTAAAACTATTCTATGTACATTGTATATAGACCAAAAATTTAGCACAGCATTATAACAAAAATTATTCCTTTTGATAGAGGTCAAACCAGTGCTATCAAATGTAATAAATTTATAATCATGGAACTCAGGAATGACAAGTTGGATGACTCAAAACAAAATCACATGTGTGCCTCTTTTAGTCCTTTGGCGATTCCAGATTCCCAACAACAGCCAGCCTTCCTCTCAGTCTGCCTGTTGAAATTTTGATTCCCATCATTATAATAGTAATAAATGTGCTAAATCTACGGGTTTAGCAATTCTATGAACGGGATCACCCAATGGGTGATTCCCGTAAACATAGAATCTATGCTGTCTTACTTTACGAATTTATGTATACGGGATTGAGTATATATGGACATAATCTAAAATCTTAGATTATGGTGCGCTACATGTGCTTGATTTTGGAATATGGAATTTTGCTTGAAATTAACAGAAAATAACTGCATTCTCGCCAGCAAATATTGAGAACACATGGTGCCAGCAAGTGCGCCAGAACAAATCCAAAAGCTCGTGACTAAGGATTTTCTGAATCCTCGATTCCAAAAAAGTATGTGTTTGCATAGTACATACTTTTGGCAGCCGTGGGCCTCCGAGAACCAGAAATCTATGTATTTGTGTCTTAAATACTACATACTTCTATGTCTGCACATCTGGAATCTAATTCAATTCAATTTTCTGAAAATCAATGTTTACGGAAATCACCCAATACTATAAAATTTCAGAACGGAAGGAAACAAAAGGAACTCAATTGGCGGCACCTTCGGTCTCATACCAACACCATGTCAGACCTCCAAGCTACTACCGGTGTCGAATCGAATAGGGCCGAGCTCATTGCTCTGAACCAAGAGCTTCTTGATTCGATTGTCAACCTGGATTACGAAACCTACGATCGGTTGTGTGCCGATGACATGTCATGCATGGAACCAGAATCGAACCAGAACGTTGTGGTCGGAAAGGGATTTCACAAGTACTATTTCGACGTATTTGGGGGCAGTTGTAACAAAGGAGAGGTGTCGGTTTCCGGAATGAACACAAAGACCCACACCAACGTGACCATGGTGCGGCCGCATGTTCAATGGATCGGCACGGCGGCAACAGGGGCCGTTCTTTCGTACGTCAAACTGACGCAACAAACGGCACCCGGCAAGGCACCGGTAACAATGCAACAAAGCGAGACACGGGTTTGGGAAAAACGAGAAGATAGAGGGTGGGTCAACATACATTTTCACAAGTCTCCGTACCGAACTTGATTCTGGTGGACCCAACAGAAGAAAAAGAACAATGAGCTTCTATGCCAAGTGCTGCGGCAAAGCTGTGACGCCTTTTCGGTATTGTTATTGAGCATCGTTCACCAAATGCAAACAACACCAAAATAGATTTTGATTTCCTTAATGCAAGCATAAAGTGACCGGCATACTAGAGATCCAAAAACCCAGAAGCAGGATACAAGGCACTTGATATCACAGATTAACATAGAATATAAAGGTTGATGGGTATCTATTGATTGGCTCGATCCATGGTGATTTGTAATCAAACATTCTCAACTGTTGTGGCTTAGATTGTTTGTAGTCTAGAGAAAAACACCCGAATCCGAATCTACCTTTCGAACTATATTTCGTCGACAAAAACTACCGCTTGTTTTCGATAATCCAGTGGAATTCGAGTCACCAATTTGAATTAAATGCACTACAACGAAAATTGACGTTTTGCCCGTCGAGTCATTCTCTGGTGCGCAATCCGTCCTTCTTCTTCTTTCTCTTTAGAACTGAACCTTTGTAGAGGCATTCAAGGCAGTTGCATTGCCAGGGATAGGTATGAGGATGCCATCAGTACGGCAAACACGATTCAGGCCTCCGTGAAAGCGAAGCAGTAATCGAAAACTAACAAACACAGAAACAGATACTGAATCCGTTTGATGCTTAGATTCAAAAAGTTGCCAGCGCGAAACAACTTTGTTTGACCTTCGCGGTCGTGATTGGGTAGGATGTCAACTCCCCTCGTCTTCCATGCTTGGATCTACAACACCAAGTGTAGTAGGAGAGAGGGTGCGACGGGGCATGGTTGGATGGGGAGTTGGCGCTGGGAAAGTCGAAGGAGTAGCAGTGGGTAGCTGACCACCGCCCACTGGTTCCAGCAAACTAGGCGGAATGGTTGAGTTCGTAGTACTAAAGGGCGCTACACTCTCCACTTGAGATGACGGCTGGGCCGTTGGCAGGGGGGCTTCGGTACCTCCCACCGTTTCCAGCAAACTTGGCAGAATAGTTGAGTTTGTGGCGGTGGGCTCGAAACTCACAATTTGAGGTGACGGCTCGGCAGTTGGCAGCGGGGCTTCGGTACCTCCCACCGTTTCCAGCAAACTAGGAGATATCGTTGAGTTTGTGGTGATGGGCTCGAAATTCACAATTTGAGGTGACGGCTCTGCGGTTGGCAGGGGGGCTTCGGTACCTCCCACAGTTTCCAACAAACTAGGAGATATCGTTGAGTTTGTGGTG